ACCCCCCTGTATCCTTGATAACTCTTCAAGAATGAAACATCTCTGAAATGAGTGAAATTGCTATTTGTCTTTCTTGGATTATGTGTAGTTTTAGAAAAATAATTATATTATCTCATATTTGACTATTGCTGATTTTTATATATACTTCAAAATTGACAAAATCTCATAGAATTATGTTTGTTTGTTTGTTTGTTTGTTTGTTTTTCAAGGCAGAGTTTCTCTATAGCCCTGGCTGTACTGGACTTGCTTTGTAGACCCAGAGATCTGCCTGCCTCTGACTCCTAAGTGCTGGGATTTAAGGGGTGTTCTACCATGCCTGATATTTAAGACTCTTTGACATTAAATCCATCCATAGATTTTGCTTTCCAAGTTCTGCCTCTTTGCTATAAAAAATTGTGGAGCTGGAGAATGGATCCTAGAGTATTAGCATCCCAACTGAGCTTATTAGAGTATAGTTCTATAAGGGGCAACTGCAGAGAAGATTGATCCAGTGTCAGTATTTTAGTGAAGCCTACTATTTTGTTATTTAGAGGCATAGTTTTGCTCATCACAAATTTTATGTCTGAACTGCACTGCCTTCATAGAAGATATATTTCTCTATCCAGACCTTAAATTTATGTTTTATATGCCCTAAAAGAATATTGTTTATGAAAATATGATATCATCCTGTTTCCCAGAGTTGGAAAATGTGTTTTTGAGTATAATGACTCCAGAAAGCATCTTACTGGATAACTGTGTTTCTTCATTTACAGGAAAAGAAAAAAAAAAGGCCCTGTTTCACTTATACTCCCTGTATCCAGGAAAAGCCTCTGCTCATGGTAAACATTTTCATTGCAGGATCTGTTCACATTCCATGATGTGGCTGTGGACTTCTCTCAGGAGGAGTGGGAATGCCTGGACTCTGCTCAGAGGGCTTTGTACATTGATGTGATGGTGGAGAATTACAGCAACCTGGTTTCTGTCGGTGAGAACATTATTCTTGCAGAATTCCTAACTCATCCTTGATATATACTTACTGTTTAGGTGTGAAGACGCTCTGAGTAGCTGTCTGAGAAACTATAGGAAACTAGGTAGATTATGTTACTGAGTACTTCTTCCTGGTATCTGATGTTTTCCCTTTTGGAGGCGTTATGAAGACTTCCCTTTGCCAAGGTCTGGTCTCAGCATGAGGAAGGTCCTGAGAAAAGGGGGAGTGGGAGCTGGGCTGATTCAATAATGACTCAGAGTCAGCAGTGGATGCAGACTGTCCATTCAAGTGCTCTCTCTTTGCCCAAGGATTCTCATCCTTCTTCCTTCTCCTTTCTTCTTCTTCCTGCTCCCTTCTCACCTTCATCATTTTTCTCATTCTTTTTCTTTCCTCCATCTTCTCATTCATTTTCCTTCTTCCAACCGGAGAGCCTGAACTCAGTTTTTTATTTACTGAAGTTATATCATCAAGGCTTTGACCATTGTTAATAAGTTTTTAAGAAATCCTTAAATTTATGTAAATTTAAAATATCCCAGATCATTAGTCTCAGCCCTGCTTCCTTAAAACAGAAACTCAGAGCAAAGGCACGTTTCCTTACAGGTTTGCATAGTCTGTTCTTCATGTAGCTGGGAGTATAAGCGAAACAGGGCACAGCTCTGGTGGCTTCCTAATACAGCAGACAACAGTCTTTAGTAACTTTTCATTTAAGGACAGGAAGGTGACAGAGTGCTAAGGGTAAAATAATTTCTTACAAAGTTTTAAAATTTATGTAACTAAAATATCTAACTCTTTCTAATATTTCTCTAGGTATTGTCATCCCCAATCCTTCAAGTACCTAGGAGAACAAAGTACTAACGTTTTATATGCGTGTACATCATCTTTTAATTCTCGCAATTTGTTTATCCTAGTAACCTCATGGCCTCATTACTCTTCTTCTAGTACTATTTATTTCTAAATCATATACAAGCCTTCCTCCTATAAAATAAACCCATTTATCATGTGTTTTGTTTTGTTTTGTTTTTTATAGATTCCTCCTTCTTTTCCTATCCATTACTTTTCTTCTTGAGGACATGTTAACTCTCTATCCTCGATGTCTCCAAGTTCATCCTGGTTTATTAATGCAGCAGTCATTGGCCCAGAGGGTACATATGTCTCCTCATAACTCCAAGTTTGACCACATCTACAATGAACAATTTCTACAAAGTACAATGCCTGTTCCTCGTCCTCTACAGCCTCACAGCCACCTCCATTTCCCAGTCCTGAGAACTGCATCTGTTTCATTTATTATGGAGTCATTAGCTCAGAGAATGGGGGGGAGTATATTCCCCAGAAAGAGAGATGGAAAGTAAAACAGATAGAAGAGACAAAAGATCAGCTTCAGGGCAACAGCGACCATCAGTGCATGCTGGGATCAGTGCCCTGGTGGTGCTCCAGGGGCAGGAACTGTGCCGTACTTGCCCTTAGGCAGGGATGCCAGACCCAACACTTTTGGGTCCACAATATGTTCAGAGAACCAGTAGCAGATGTTTCCACCCACCCCCATCCTAAAGTTCCATTTCCATCATTGCATTTGACTCAGTTTCAACTGGAAACACGACTTGGTCTGAAAACTGAAAATTTTCTTTTAGTATTTCTTCAGCTTTTTTTTTTAATGCATGGATGTTAGCCTATGTGCTCAAAGTGACTGACTAAGCCAGCAGAAAGCAACAAATGCCCCGAATCTAGAGTTGCAGAGGAGTGTGAGCTTCCCCAGGAGGCTGGGAACAAAAACTGGTCCTTAATGACCATTGAGCCATCTATCTAAGTCTTCCATAAATATTTGTAAAACTCTTATATTAAAGAACAACTAGCAAATCATATCTAGAGCCTTCTTTTATGTCATCTCTTAGATATCTGGATGTCCTATAGAATCCAACAAAATAATGTGCTACTTAGTGTGTGTGTGTGCGCGCACGCGCCAACTTCTAATATGCAGGTATTATTGTGTGCAAGACAGACCTGGTCCCCTGTCTGGAGCAAATGTGTGTACTCTGGAGTATGAAGAGAGAAGAGATGGTGGCTAAACCAGGTAGAGGTGAGTGAATGAGCAGGAAAGAGGGACTTAAGTGAGAAAGGAAGGAAACACAGAAAATGGTTTTGCCACATTCTGTTCTGTCTCACTAGAGATTTTTTGTTTGTGTTGTTTTATCAAGATAAAGTTTCTCTATGATAACCGTGGGTATCCTGGAACTTGCTCTGTAGACCAGACTGGCCTTGAACGCACAGATCTACCTCTGGCCCTTGACCCCTGGCCCCTGCCCATGCCTCTTCCCAGAGCTGGGTTTAAAGATGTGGGCCACCACTGCCTGGTGCAATAAATCTTGATAACTTTATTTAGTACTCTGTCCTCAAGATGCATCCTCCTATAAATGTTAGAAGACATTATTGTTTTTATTAGAAGTACTACTAGTATGCAAATGCAATTTTATTTGATTATAAGGGAGAAGGATTCTCTCTCAGTAACCATTCATGTCTTCAGGCCAATAGTAAGTGGTTTTCATTGCTATAATTTTATTATTTTATTAAGCATACTGTCTATAACTGGGTGTGGTTGTACATATCTTTTATTCCAGCCCTGGATGATTCTCGGTGAAAAGCTGGTAGGAGGGAGGCAGATATTTGTAAGTTAAAAGGTAGCCTGGTCTACAGAAGGAATTCTTGCTGGCCAGGAATTCAGTATTCCATATTGAATGAAGAAATTTTACAAAGGTCTGTGATGGTCTGAATGGCAATGCACAGCGTAGGTTCATATATTCTCATGTTAAGTCCTCAACTGATAATTGAGGAAGGATTAGGAGGTGTGCCCTTGATAGAAAAGTGTCACAGGGAGTGTACTTTGAGGTTGCAAAAGCCAGCACCAGGCCCAGTGTCTGGAAACCCCGGTCCAAAAAAAAAAAAAAAAAAAAAAAAGCAATGTATGTTATTCTCCCCACCCCCTGTGTGTGTGTGTGTGTGTGTGTGTGTGTGTGTATGGTTGGTTACTCTTTCTGCTCTGAGGACATCTCAAATCTGTTTAATTCTCTGAGATTCTATATATTTCTAGAAATGTTTGTAGTGTTTCTTACACAAATTGTATAGTGTTTGGTATTTAGGTAGGAATTGCTTAGGGTCTTTATGGAATATGAACTTTCTTCCATATTGTCTTCCCATGTGGAGCAAGATCATGCTCTTATCAGTGTCTCAGATGCCACATGTCACTTACAGAGTTCTGTTTTCTCTCTGCTGTTATACCTGTCTTCCCATTTGATCTGAAAATGACTATTTAAACATTCATCATTTATGTGTATATGTGGGTGTGTGTTGCTTTGCTTTGTTTTTTCTGCTTTTGTTTTGTTTTTGGTCTTTTTTTTTTTGAGACGGGCCACTATTGCTCTGAAGAGATACCATGACCAAAAGAACGCTTATAAAAGGAAGTATTTAATATGAGGTTTTGAAATAGTTTCAAATGTTTAGTCTATTATCATTATGGTGGGGAGCATGGTGGCAAGCAGGAAGGAAGGCATGGTGCTGGATAGTAGAGAACTTTGTATTTTCATCCACAGACATCAGACAGAGTGACACTGGGCCTGGTGCTGGCTTTTGCAACCTCAAACAAAGTACACTCCCTGAGATACTTTTCTATCAAGGGCACACCTCCTAATCCTTCCTCAGTTATCAGTTGAGGATTTAACATGCAAATATATGAACCTACGCTGGGCATTGCCATTCAGACCATCACAGATCTTTGTAAAATTTCTTCATTCAATATTTTGTATTAGATTTGAAGTGGAATCAGGTTGATATACATATATATGTGTGTGTGTGTGTGTGTGTGTGTGTGTGTGTATTAATCTTTCTTATTTTTCTTTGTTTCAATTTTTTTAATTTCAATTTTCTGTGTATAGAGGCTTTGTCTGGATGTGTGCCCATATATTACTAGTGTACCTGGTGCCTTTGGATGCTCTGGAACTGGAGCTACAGAGGGTTGTGAGCTGTCATATGAGTGTTGCATATTCAGCCTGGGTCCTCTGGAATAGTTTCCAGTGCTCTTATCCACTGAGCCATCTCTGCAGCCACACTGTCTCAATGTTTTTGTTTATTTGCTTTTTGAGACAAGTTTTCTTTATGGGTATTTAGTAAAAATATTTTCTTTGCATCTATTATTTTTGATGAATTTTAATGGATCATTAAGAAAAAGTCTCTATCAGTGTGGTTTTTTTGTTTGTTTGCTTTTGAGACAGGATCTCTCTATGAAGTTCTGACTGTCCTTGGATTCACTATGTAGTACAGGCTGGCTTGGAATTCACAGATCTCTGTCTGCATCTGTCTGATAAATGCTGAGATTACCATGCTGTAGCACACCTAGCTCTATCAAGTTTATTCAAAAGTTTTTAAAGTCGAAAGAAATTTGATTATTGTGAGCAGGGATTGTATAGCAGTATATTTATTAAGTGGAGATATTTTGAATTTAGTGTTAACACATTTTACAATATTTCTGGGAAAAACAATTAGAGTAATATATTTCAAAGATAATCAGTTAGAGAGCTGTGTTCCCAAGTTCACTCTTTTTTCTTCAACTATTTGTCCTACTTTTTGTAAGGTATGCAGTTTAGATAAGAATGGAAAGACAGTGATGGAGATCAGAATAGAGGCTCTTCTGAGCATTCATATTCTGGCTTCCACACAGTGATATTAAATGATAGAAAAGCCTCCTCAGAGATCTCTATTCTAAAGAATTATATTTACTTATCTCAGAAGACTCAGATATTGAATCTATTTAATTATTCCTCAATCCTCTTTTCCCTAATTGTGCTCATTTTCCAGAGAACTATCGAATGTGCAGTGAATCTGAGAAGGTCTTGGATCAAGACTCAAAGAGTATCATCTATGAGCATGTGGATATGCAGTGGAAGTCTAGTGAATGTAATGAACTTGGCAAAATGCTTCATGAATCCTCCGGATGTATACTTTGCAAAACAAATACTACTCCAGAAATCTGCAACAAATACAGATTTGGTAACCACAGGGATGCCTGTATTGAATCAGCAAACCTCAGTAGACATAAAGGTATGCACACTGGAGAAGAACCTTGCAAATATAAAGACTATGGCAAATCTTTAAGTTTATTTTCAAACATAAGTCAGAGTCATGGAATCTACATAGGAGAGAAAGAATATAAAGAATATGATAAAACTTTTGGCTCTACCTCCAAACTTGTACAGCTAAGAATCCATGGTGGAGAAAAACCACAGAAGTGTAGGAAATGGAGAACAGGATTCAGGACCTGCTCAAGCCTTAGTACACATCAAAGAACTTATATTGGAGAGAAACCATGGATATGCACAGAATGTGACAAGGCCTTTAGGTGGTTGTCAGATCTTAAAACCCATTACAAAATCCATCCTAGAGAAAAACCTTTCAAATGTAAGGAATGTGACAGATCTTTTACCCTCTGCTCTTCTCTTAGGGAACATCAGAACATCCATGAGGGAAAATTGTACAAATGTTGGGAATGTAACAAATCCTTTACCCGGTGCTCATCTCTTAGAGCACATGAGAAAATTCACACTGGAGAGAAACCTTTCAGATGTAAGGAATGTATTAAGTCCTTTTATATGCTGTCCCAGCTTAGAAAACATACCAGAGCACATACTGGGGAGAAACCATACAAATGTCAGGAATGTGACAAATCTTTTACTTACTCCTCATCTCTTAGAGAACATCAGAACATGCATGCTGGAAAACTATATAAATGTCAGGAATGTGACAAATCCTTTACCCGGTGCTCATCTTTTAGAGCACATGAGAAAATTCACACTGGAGAGAAACCTTTCAAATGTAAAGAATGTGGTAAGTCCTTTTACATGTTGTCCCAACTTAGAAAACATGCCAGAACTCATACTGGAGAGAAACCATACAAATGCAAGGAGTGTGAGAAATCCTTTACCCAGTGTTCAACCCTTAGGATACATCAGAAAATTCACGCTGGAGAGAAACCCTACAAATGTAAAGAATGTGGTAAGTGCTTTTATAAGTTGTCATACCTTAAAGTCCATTACAGAACTCATACTGGAGAGAAGCCTTACCAATGTAAAGAATGTGGTAAGGACTTTTCCCAGTCATCCTGTCTTAAAAGCCATGAAAGAATCCATACAGGAGAGAAACCTTACAAATGCAGCGAATGTGACAAATCCTTTACACACTGCTCAACTTGTAGGAGACATCAGAGCACTCATGCTGCAAAGCTCTACAAATGTGAGGAATGTGACAAATCCTTTGCCAAACAGTCATCTCTCACAACACATCAGAAAGTCCATGCAGGAGAGAAACCTCATGCTTGTGAAGAATGTGGTAAGGCCTTCTATCAACTATCACATCTGAAAGTTCATTACAGAATCCATACTGGAGAGAAACCTTACAAATGTGATGAATGTGAGAAATCGTTTACAAAATGTTCATCTCTCAGAACACATCAGAAAATCCATGCAGGAGAGAAACCTCATGCTTGTAAAGAATGTGGCAAGGCCTTCTATCACTTATCACACCTTAACATCCATTACAGAATTCATACCGGAGAGAAACCTTACAAATGTAGTGAATGTGACAAATCCTTTACCACATTGGCAAACCTTAGAAGACATCACAAAATTCATACTGGGGAGAAAACTTTCCATAGTAAATAATATGGTGTATACTTTTTCCAGAGTGCTGTCCTTAGGGACAACTGCAGGCTCCACCCCAAAGAAACATTATGAACATGAGAAACCTGGGAAGGCCTTTACGGAATGTTTAAATCTTAGAAAACATCAAGAATTTATAGTGAGGAAAATTCTGAAATGTTACACTATTGGAAGCCTTTCATTAAAACATTTAGTTGTTCAACCTCCAAAAATTCATAATGAAGACTGTGTTAATCTAAAGAATGTCACCAAGCCTTTAAAAGTTATACCCTGAAATGACATACAGCAGAAAATTCAATTAGAAATCATATATATGTTTGCCATTGTGCTATATTCATGCCTTGATGCACACTAGAAATTCTCTAGAGACCCCAAAGAAGTAACATTGAATTTGTCAAAGCCTTTCCCTACTAGACATCTGGAAATTCTTCCTGAAGAAAAACCCAAGAAAGTGCTCTCATAAAAATACCCTTTTTTTTTCTCCATTAAAATATTCATTCTGGAGTGAAAACCTGTCAATGGCAAGATGAAAGATGATCAGAACTTTACAGTGATAATCTGTGGCTATGACAACATGTATGCTCATGGACAGGTAGAAAATCCTCAAGAATGTGCAGGAAAATTATTTTTTAGTACTCAAAAAAGTTAAAGAAGTATTTAGTAAAACCACAGAGCATAGTAATAGTAAAAGTTTCATATACAAATACTAAAACACAAAGGTTTGAAGGCATTAGACAAACCAGAATGCTACATTAGCAAATGGTTATATGATAATTGATAAAAGTTGCTGTTCCTTCAGGGCTGGTGAACCCAAGACAGGAGTCAAAAAAGTTAGTAGGAACTGACCATAACCATCAAAGGACAGACTTAATGCCAATTTCAGGTACTCTATGAGTCATAGCTCCTTTGCATACAGATCCTACACAGATCAAAGCCCTTTTCATGATCTTTCAGTAGTTTTCTTCGTTCCTTATCATTTAAAAACAGTTCTTGGCCAGGAAGTGGTTGCACAGACCTTTAATTCAAGCATTTGAGTTGGGGAGGGTAGAGGCAGGTAGATCTCTATGAGTTTGAAGCTGGCCTTGTCTACAGGTTAAGTTCCAGGACAGCCAAGGCTACACAGAGAGACCCTGTCTCAAAGACAAACAGAACACACACACGCACATGCACACACACCCCAATTCTTTCTACTTGAACAGAATCCTATCTTGGAAACCCTCCACTTTCAGAAGTTACTCTTTTTACTTGTAATAAATACTGGTTGGGAGCAAACCCACTTCTGTTCATGACACCTGGGAGATGCATGAAAGTATATTCTGGGAACTACACCATGTTATGGAGAAACAGTGTCTTGGAGTTTTCATAAGCACTTAGAACTCTCCTTACATAGATTCATTCATGAACCATGTTAATGAAATCTTCTCCTTTTTATCTTTTGAATTAAGTATGTCTAGAGTGGTTTTCATTCAAGATATTGTAGAGAAATTTAATGACAATTTGATGCATGAGTATCCTATAAATAAGCAAATTATCAACACAATAATAATAGGCCACCGACAGGATTATATGTTATAATCTGCCACCAGGAATGGGAGCATTTCCTCCTAGTGATGTAGCTATTCCATCAGCCATATCCTCGTAAGAAATAGTTAATAAGCTATCTGAAAATGTTAAAACCATCAAAACTTAAATTCCCTTGGAAATTTGATGTGTTCCCACATGTAATATTGTTGATTAGGTTCTGTGGAGGTAATACAAAAGTAAGTGTAATTCCAATCATATTTCATAGACATTTTTTTTCATATTTATGATCTGATCCCCCAACAATTTAACCATCTGTTGTAACTCTTTCTACCTCTGATTCTATTTATCAATGCTTGTTTTACTCATAAATTATGAGAATCATGTTACTGTTTTTGTACAAACTGTTACAATGATAGTTATTCCTATGATGAGAACAATAAGCTATTCAATAAAAAATTTTGTCCTTTTTAGAAATCTATCAAGGACTTGTTAATCATAATAGCTACAACAGGCCCTTCTTGCCATGGCCTGGTCAGTTACAGATAACCATAATCCTATAATTTACAATAAAACTAGTCACATTATTCAGATTAAGATTACTGTTAAGGCTACCTATAGCAAAAACAGCAACTTTACACAAGAAGTTACATGAAACGGGTTACAAAAGTAGAGTTAAAATTACTGGAACAGGTGTGTCTAAAGTTACTAGATCATGTCAGTATTTAAGTTAATGCTTCCAGGATTTTCCAAATATGCCATTGTTCAGGTTTTAATTTTTAAACCAAATCCTAGGCGTAGGGGGAGCTCAGCCTCCATCATGCCAAGCTGCTAACCCTGTGGGTTCAGAGTGAAAAAAAAAATAGTGTAATTATGAACATCCTTTAGATCCAACTGATTTTAATTACACCATTGACCATTACCCAACAGTTAGAAACAAATCTCCTTTGAGGACCCCAATCAGTTAACATAGAAGCACGTTGAATGATTTTTTTTTTCTTTTTTCTTCAGCTTCTGGACAAAAAGAACGGGGACATATTTATAATTGTTGAGAGTAATATTTAAAAACAGCAACACCCGATCTGGCTTGTTGTTACAGGGCCTGCAATTTTCCGACTAGGCAAGGCCCGAAGCCATGAGCAGTGGCGTGCTGCTACTGCTTGGCTCAAGCCGCTGGCTCAGGTGGGCCAGAACACCTCCCAGGCACCCATGAGACACCAGCATGGGAGACAGCTCTGCCAATCTTCCACAGTGTCTCGACAAAGCTGGGCTGAGCCCAGACCATCCCACCATCCATGCGGTACTCGGTATGAATGAGACTCTAATGGCTAAAGATTATCCAATAGCTTTATATATTTGGTAAAGCTCAATAACAAGAAGCCCACACAATTAGGGGTGTAACTCAACACCCAACCTAGATATTACAACTACCTTAGACTGCTAGAGACACACATACATCCACCACCATTTTCCCCTCTCCTGGTCCTCTCTGTTAGCTCCTCCTCTTCCTTCTCTTCCTCTCCTTACTCCTTCTGCATTGGCTCCTCCCAAAACACCGAGTTTAATGCAGCAGGAAATATACCACTACATATAATTTTCAGAAAAAAAGAGTAAACAGGATTTAAACTGTGTCCAATACTGTTGGTTACATTATTATATTGATGAGAAAAGTCCAGAGAATAGGTTAAAAACAGACCTATATGATTAGTAGTTCCAGTGTCTGGTAAAGCATCAGTCCATACTTGCCTTCTAAGAGGAATACAAATGTTATGTCCTATGCAAACAGGAAGTGATTCAGATCCCAAGGAAAAAAATAACACAGTCCGTTTTTCAGATAAATGAATGAGGCCATTGTGGTCCAGTCAAAAAACAAAGTCATTAGTAAAGATAACAGCAGCTGGATAGATACATTCAGAGATATGTACTACAGATGCACAGGTCAAAGCATACAGCATCACTGGTAAAAGATTCTCCAGTGACATAGGGTTCTGTATGCATCATAGAATATCTTCCCTTTGGTGCACAGGGGCTTAACATGGACCCAGGTGGGTAGACATGACTTCTGATGATATAGTCAACATCTCCTTTTGCCCTTCACCTGGAGGGTTGCTATCTTTCCGGTGACTTCTACTGTTGCCCTCATCCTCTGCTATCATCCTTGATGACCTGGAGCCAGAGAAGCCTAAGGAAAATCCATAATGTTTCAGTGGCTCCATCTGCAATGACAGAAACAATCCTTCCCAATCCCCCTCAGATAACTGGGCTTCCAGTCTCAAACTGTTTAAACCACACAGGTCTGTCTAGACTCTATACTCTGGAAGCGGTTTATAATGTTCTGTAGAGAAATGCTTTTGAACTCTGGAGTATAGATCACTTTAAGGCAAAATTTAAAGATTAAGAGTAAATAAGAAAAGTGCAAGGATATCCCTGGTGCTCCCCTCATTTTAATTTTTGTTAATAATTGATATTCTATGTGCCTTGATCTTAAAAAATATAATGAATGCCTGTAATACAATTGATATTGCATTCTTTACAAGAGTTTTTTAAGTTTATACTACTATGCTACTACTATATAAAAGTAGGCACTCCCATAAACAGCAAAAGTTTGTATGAGAAGAACACACAGCAGAATCCTTCTCTGAAGATTGAGGTACATCCCAAAGAAATTTATAAGTATCACACAAATAGAACACTAGTAATGTGAGCATAATATAATCTGAAGACAAAACCAAGGTAATTTCAATCACTGGAAATAATCCTACAACATAAGCAGAATCTGAAACAATATTTAAGTGTTTATGAGCTAATTACAATAGATGAGTCAAAGCATCCAGTTCCACTTGTTGAAGTGAGAAAAAGAGATATTAATAGATTGACGAATATCTGGACCATGAATTCTCCCCCTGTACCATTAGATGAGCCATCAGTAAAATAAGTTTCTGCCTGTGGAATGGGAGAAGGTTGGACAATTTTTGTAATCAGAAATTCAGTTCATATGAAAAAAAAAAGTGCCATAGTTTGCCAACTGGATGACTTCTTATCGTTCCACAGTAATCTGCAAATGAAACTTGAAAATCCAAACTGTTCTGTAACATTCTTAAAAACTGATTGCTTGTTAAGGATAATATGATAAAGCAAGGATCAAACACAGATAATTTTTGACATTTGCTCCTCTCCTGATTTACTAATTGAGCAAGAATAGTAAATATTTTATGGCCCTTATGGTGTAAATAGGTACATTCTAAAGAGTTATGTTCTTGAGCTATAATCCCTGTAGGAGACAATTTAGTGGGGAAAGTAAGTTTAAAGCAGTGAAGGAGCCACAAGATACACAAATGCTCCTATTAGTATGTAGTTCTTCCTTAGCAAGGACTGCCTAATGCTAGATCTCCTAGAGTTTTAAGTAGACTGGAATACAGTATTTTTCAGTTGGGTGGGAAATTTTTATGTTGCTACTCAATGGTGACAATAAGAATAGCATATTTTCTGAATGTAATGTACCAGATGAAAATATCCTGATCTTTCTCTTAAAAGTTCTGGCATAGCTGTGACCTTTTTTCTTAAATATCATGATACTGAGCACAAATCTCCTGTGCATGCAACTTTAAATATTGTAAATTCATACCAGCATTATTTTTTTTTGAGACAGGGTCTATTCTATCCCTGGCTATCCTGAAACTCATTATATAGACCAGACTGACTTTGTACTCAGAAACTCCATATAGTTATGAGAAGCCAACACAATGTGCTTGTAGATAACAATGAGTTTTAGATTGATCTGTTTTATTATTTCATGTGTAGATGTGTTTTGCCTACATTTGGCTATGTATACCATGTGTTTGCCTCGTACATACAAAGTTCAGAGGAGGGCTTTAGATCCCTGAAACAGGAGCTACAGATACAATCCAAATTTGGATGGTGGCAATCGAACTCTCATCCTGCACAAGAGCCACTGGGAAACTCTTGAATTCATCTCAAGGATTTTAAGCAACAGTTTCATGTAATTCAGTAGTGTTTAACATTGAAATTTGATATAGAAATTACCCTGTAGAAAACATTTTGAGAAACGACTTTTGTTTGGTTTGGGGGTTTTATTTATTTAATTTTTAATTTTGAGACAGTTTCACCATAGGTTTCTGACGTCCTAGAACTTCCTCTGTAGACTAAGCTGGCCTTGAATTCACAGATATCCTCTTCCGTCTGCCTCGAAGGTGCTTTATGACACCTGGCATAGAAGTTTTTAAGGTAAACATTCTTGCCAGACAGTGATGGGGCAGGTCTTTATTCCTTGCACTCAGGAAGCAGAGGTAGGCAGATCATCTTTGTAAGTCGAGGACAACCTGATCTACAGAGCTAGTTCCAGGACAGCCAGGGCTATACAGAGAAAACCTGTCTCTTCTAAATGCAAAACAAAAACAACAGAAAAAAAGACTAAAACACATGGGAGATGCATTCACCTTCTTACGTTGTAGTGGCCAAATTCTAAATCCTCTCCCACCTTCAAGACTTTTTGGCTTTGCTGATGCTTGAATATCACAGCCACTCTGGAAGAGGGTTTACCCTTCCATGAAACACACACAACAAAAACTAACTACTCTTTGATCATCTTAGTAAGTTACTGACTTAGTAAGTTACTGACACTTCAGTGTGTGAGTTGACTATGCTTATCAGAACAATGCTAGTGCCAGAAGCCAGGACCCTCGCCCTTACCCTCACCCCCTACCTTTCCCCATCTGCACAATATCCCCTGCAGCTTGGCAACCACAAGATCCTGCCTGGCAGCTGCAGATAGACTCAAAGCAGTGTACCATATCTTCTGAAGAATAGCAGGGAGACCATAACTCAAAGCAGTGTACCATATCTTCTGAAGAATAGCAGGTAGATCATAATTCAAGGCAGTGTACCGTGTAGACCATGAAATGTTTTAGGGCACAGGCCATGAAGAGTCTGTACTTTTCCACCACCTGGCCCCTCTTACCCCCTCCCCTTGTAAAGCATACTATAAAAAAGCATTTCTCGTTCAAATACACAACTCTTGACAAGCAATTGCTTCCTTGAGTCCGTTCTTCTCTCCCGCCTGTTCTTTTTCAGGTTGCGGTCCTCCTCGCCCCCACGAATAACTAGGACCCGCAGGTCGGGTCATGCTAGCACAGGTCAAAGAAAGGCTAATGCAAGGAGCTCTCGGTGGCTTTCAGAATACTGGTTTTATTAAGTCTGGTAGAGAGCAAAATCAGGGCACATTCAAGGAACTCATGAAAGGATACATGATGTTTATGTCGTTCCTGCTTCAATATCAATATGCGTCTTTGCCCCCATTCTTCCTCACAAGGACACTTCTCAGGCTGGATTTGTGGGGTATATAGCAGGATCTTATAAAGAGCAAACCTGGATCTGAATTCGTAGAGTGCTCAGAATCAGACAGGCCTTGCTCACTTTGAGGACCACGATGACACAGTCGAAGGACTCCCCCTTCACTGCACA